CTCGAGCAGCTTACTTTGCAAGCCCAAAGCGTTCTTGTCGGTCGAATTCCGTGCACGTGAACGCCACATTTGTGATTGTCCCCTAGGGTTCTATACTTCTGACCGAAGAGAAGAGTTCACACGAACCTCTGCCTGGGTTGTGCCTTTAAAAAGCAGGCCAAATTAATACATATCCCTTTTGGAATGTCTCTGCACATTTGAACCAAGCTATTCCATTATTATTCCCAATAGATGAAATATAATGCTCGAGAGCTCAAGATGTAAGAAAAGTGAGGGCAATGAGGTAACATATTAATCATCTGAGCCCTGTCAAGCTACACTGCTAAAGAGATCGGGCAGTTGCCTACGTGTAATGTTACTGTAAACCGGTTGTGGCGTTGTATAATTCTTCAAAGCCAGGTCCATGAACCATTGGTCGCCATCTGACTCTACCATTGGAATGCCCAATAGTTCTGGAATATATTGTAGTTCATTACAATATGTCATATCTATCTTATCACTCTGAAAAGGTGGATTCGTGGGATCTTCAGTTTGTTTTCAAATTGATGATTGAGCCGCAGAAGTACGGAACTGCGGAGACTTTTCAGCTCCTGAAAGATTACAGGGAACAAGCTCTTTGTCTCATATCAACCACTCATTTTTTACGAATTATTCGATGATTAAATATTAGTTTGTGGGTATGCAAGTCGGTTTGCCAGTATATGCATGCCTTTCTCGGGCCGCTTTAGGCCTCTTCAGTGGACGTCTACCAGTACAGGTGGCGGAAGACTCCAGAAATCAAAGTCTCTGATAAAACCCGTTCCTATCGATTTTTGCTGAGTGTACTTGTAAATTTAATTACTTTTGATTGCTGATACTGGGCCTCCCCCTTTGAGGTACCTCCAGACAAGTTCTTCATAAACCGTTCAAATTATTTTGCAAAAATTAATATGTTTATAACTGCTGGCACAGGTCCAATAGTGATGCGCGACCATCAATTAGCACCATAGACCTCATGAAAACGCAATACTTATGGAGGGATCTGATATATTCTACCGCCTCAGCACGTTGTTCTTCTCTTCTTTATTTCCTTGGCAACTCACATCGCGAAATTTTCGAACGGCGAAAATTAACATAAATTTTGCTGCCTTGATATGGACGGGAAAGAATCATACCGCTTCGAATTCAAGTCAAATGATTCATGCAGCTCGTGGTGAGATATTTAAGCTGCACAGCCTGTTGTAATTGTTGTTGTTGTGGTATCGTTTTTGCTGCCACCACTCTCACATCATCATTGTTCCCTTTATTACCTTTACCGTTTGCCCATATGATGGCCATAGTATGATGATGAAAATCGTCGTGAAACTGGCACTACATGCTTTCTGACGCAATTGATCACCCTTCATCAACGAGTATTACTTTATATTACTTAAAACAAGTGACTTCGGCCACCGCAAAAGTAAATGTTTCGCCATTTTAATGATTTTCCGATCGCAATTGTACTCTATCAGACTTCCCTGCAACTGCATTTACCATCTTTCAACTACCACTATGAATCGCTAGTTACCGAATACACTTGGGATCCGTCTTCACTAGTGGTGTGTGGCCCGCACTCGACGCCCATCTGGTTCTCGGAAGCAGTGGGTATGTCATCGTGCAGCGCTCCTTAAAGCTTATAAGTTTACGATCAGCGCTAAGGCGGAAAAGCTCTAAATCAGCATCAGCCGGCAAAGACCCTAGTAACGCTTTTGCCCACATTTCAGTAGATAGTATAAAATAATCAGATGCATTTACAATAGCATTAACAAAACAAGGAAATGCATTTCTCCCATAAAGGTACTGAAGCACTTTTTAGAATAAAATAATCTTATTGATTTTTGTAACGGAATTTCTAATTGTAGAGTGTCAAAACTCAGCTATCTTCCGATCTTATACGAAGTACTCCACATTCTGAAATGACGGTAACACATAACTTTCTTTGAAATTCGGTCCTCTTGCGAACATAACTGTATGCATGGATGGTACGATAAAATCGTATCCATGTTCACCATTTTTGTTGAAATTTATATCAGGAGATGTTCTGTAACTTTCTGAATTCAAGTTTTGTATGCCAAAATATTGCAAAATTGAAATTAAAAGTTATCTGAGAACTGATGATGAGCCCATATATTATAGGAAGCTGGTAACGACATAAGTAAATAAATATTGAAGCATTCCGAACTTACCAACCATTCAACGCTCATGAAATTTACGTAATAAGGTCGTAATAGGAGGAGCTGAAGGCTGAAGTTTCACCTGCACAGTTTGATATCACATCTGTTTTGGAAGTATGCAGGGTGATTTCGACCATGTAAATGCGATGATTCGGGGAACGTCATGGCTTCACCTTTTCACAACACAAGCAGTCGTTGCCATCGCCCACCTGTCGATAGTTTGACATGGCCAAATGACCCGCAGTGTTCCGAAAGCTTCTTCTTGCGCCCACCATTGCAATATTATCAAGCCAGGTACTAGAACAACCAGCTGGAGTGAAGCCTAAAGCCGTGGAACCAGCTGAGTTAATGTTTAACCGCGGAGCGGGAATAATCGCGCATCGCGAAGAAGGCCATCATTTGGACTCTCTGCATTGTTTGCATTTCAAGACATATTCGTAGAAGTGGAAGCACCAACTTCTTATTGATGCTGGCAAAGTGGCGAAAAAGCAGTGGCGTTTGGTGTTGAGAATGTAACATATCGTTACCGAGCTTCATAAAGTATACATGATCTAACATATGTGCGAAAGAAAAAGTCCTGGTTCTCAAGGCTTCGGTTACAGCTTCTGTCTCCATAGAGCCGGAGGCCTTAGGATGCATTGCGGATTCTTCTCTCAATCTCTGCTGCTTGAACTAATAATACTGCTGCTTTTCGCCCCCCCAAGGTTTTTCACTGGCTCTCTGCATACATAGCTTCGAAAGCTTGGACGTGAGTGGTGATTGCCTGCAGCTCTTACGGCTCCGCGTTAGCGTATCAGCGCGAATGTTTCCGGGGATAGATGTCTCTTGGTTTCGATTTATCCACCTTCTTACATATTCGTAGTCAACGAACCGATAGTACTCTCGTCGATGAACGGCATGAACGCGTGTCAGCATGACCGTGATCAAGTCGTCGTTTGCGAGGGGGCATGCATCCAGCACCGACGAGGAGGATGTAGACGATGGAAGAGGGGGGGGGGTTCCCCATGATGGACTGTACTGAGCTCGCTCGCTACCACAACTTCTGGCATTCAACCCCATAAAACCAAGGAAATGTGTTTGGTGGGTCAAACAGCTACGTTCGGCTCAGCGCAAAAGTTTAACCCGCTTTCAATACACTGATGTGGGTCTATCTGCGACATGGAACTGTCCATCAGGTGACTCCCAATTACAGCGAGGCTTTCGAGACTTCAGTTATGATGGTGCTTTTGATAAACCTGATAAAATCCAATATTTCACACCATTCCATAACAACCGATGTGAATTGTTCATCCGTTCTTCCTCGAGTGAATCTTAGTTTAGAAGTTGCCAACGATGATTTTGAAGCAATGTGATCTTCCACGATAATACTTCTCCAGTCCACATATAGATGCTTCGTGTTCTCCCACGTCGTAGCTTTATGTTGTTGCATGGGCGAGGAAGATTGCCAAAGCAGGAGTTGGACCATATCTTCTCATTGCCAAAATCCGACTTAAGTCGTTAGGCTTTCGGAGAAATCGATAAAACACGCGTTGACAGGAATTCACACCGCCGAGGCATTTGCCGTCACATGTTCCGAGAACAATTCTTCCTGAGGCTAGAAAACGGCGTGTAGCGATCACCTTCTCAGTCTCGTCCTTTGATAAGGCCTGTCATGATTTCCTGGCCAGCTATTCGACGTTACCCGTTCGAAGTGGCCTTATATTCTGACCTTATCACTCTCGTAATCCTTTTTATGTTACGTGCTCCGGATTGAAATTCCTAGCACCTCATACCGAGACGGTCTACTCACGCCTAGTTGCACCTGCTGTCTTTGCTAACATAGATGTCCCACGAGTATTTGCCCGGAAGCTCTGCAGTGGAAAATTGCCCCCGCCCTAATTTTATCTTAGAACCGCATTATTAGCCCTCCCCAAGAAACGAAACACTGGTTTTCGGATGCGGCGCCCGATCCCCTCCCCAAATGCTTCCAGCACTAGTATTGCAGCTCTTGCTGTGCCGAAACATGCGTGTGGCGGACTCTCCAAAATTGCACACACACAAAAGAGCCGGCGCCACGCATGAATACACCTAGAGCCGAAACAGCTGTATGAACTGGCACAGCACATACAAAGAGCATGAATCTATCCCCTAAATACTGTGTCTCATGGTAGGTAGGTATATGGTAGCTTTTGGTCAGCAGTTTATCCGCTCTGTCCACCACCCACGCTCACACCACGTATCCTCGCCACGAGGAGGCTAGAGATTTCAGTAAGAGGACCCTCGAAATAGATCCGCATATGATGAACGCGGAGGTAAAATGTGTCAATCAAAACCAGCAAAGACTTTTTCAGTTGAACATGGAATTCATAATAACTTCGTATATAGACGCCTGAGTCTTACCTTCTTTGAGAAAGAATTCTGCCAGCATGCATTCTTATCCCCAAGTGTAATAAAAGCCACCCAAATAATGCATCTTTCATGACCATTTAATGACAGCAACGTAGAAGAGAGAAAGTAGGGGTCTCCTTTACCCTAAGGCCCAAGGGGGCTCACCCGAGTTTGAACATCCACCCGAACTTGAAATACTAATTGAAAGGGGGTCGTCTGCTTCCTCTATTCTGATACGAGTAGAAGTATGAAAAATGCGATTTGCCACCACCTAAGAATAGCAAGCAATTTCAGTTAGATGAAAACGACCGAATACCTCAACCACTAGTGTGGAAGCACATTGCTAATCACAAGTTACTCTAAAAGGTTCTGTAGCGGTGCAATTTCGTTTCTTATAGACAATTCAATGTTTTATATCTAGTTTTGATGAATGTCTTACTCGTGAACGACCGCCCCGTCTAGTCCCTCAATAACAAGATCGCCGATTCGTCGCGACTTCGGGTAATGATACCGAATAGGCATAGTTTCCTTCGTGAAAACGCGAGCATTATGCTGGGTTCGACATTTCAAGTTCTCCAGGATATTCTCCGTTGTTCTTGCTGTAAATCTTAATCATAATGAGCGACGACTGAGGCAGTACGAAAAAATCGCGGTTACTTGTTTTCACCCGGAAGATCTGCGCCACAGCACCATATGATGCATAAAGCCCATCTAAGTCGATAAAGTCCTCAAGCAGTATATGACTTCTGGTTCGGTGCATTCCTAAATTGATAAGGTAGTAATCAGCAAACAACCTGTACATTGCATGCCACAATCGGATTCTTCAAAATTCAGTCTGCAAAGTTCACAGAAAATTCACAGAGCCAGACCAGAGAGCGGCCGTGATGCCTACTTAAATGGATACCGACAATGAAGCGTAGTTTCATTTGAGTGTGTAGCAGAACTCTACGACGTTGCCCTCTTTTGCACTGCTCTTTTGTCACTGCGCTTATACGATGTCGTAATCTTATTTTTACAGTCAATCGTCGCGCAAGGTCACCGATCTTCCTGTGCGCTCATCTAATTGGCCGTCTCAGGCGTGTTTCTACTTGCACCATCTCACGTTGTTTTTAAACAGAAAGGAAAATTCAGCCAATGAAAAACGATTACCGTGATCTGATATTATGACTAGATTAATACATTCGAGAATGCCTTCCTTTTCTAGTGTATCGAGAAAACGTCCAAGTATACTATCGAGTTTTTTCAGCATTTCGTTGAGCTGAAATGACCATATTGCTCACTTCATGTGTATAAGTTTGCGTATACTGGCTAACATGTAGTCATAAAGAAGCTTGTGTCCTGAACCCTCTTCATCTGCAACATTGCAAGATGTACTATCTGCGATGGACTAACAAAGTCTTCAATATGAGCATATCACCTTTGTTAGCATTGGCCCTGATCACGCATTGTATGGGGGTGGCAATACGGCAACGCTAGTTGTGAATACAACATGCGCCTTTTATTCAATTAGATGAAATTAACATAGTCATTCATTGTAGGGGCTAATGTTATTTTTTTAAAGCTAATAGGCTCGTAAATTTAGGTACGTTTTTGACTTTTGTCGCCCAAACGAAATATCTAAGCTGGAACAAGCCTCACTAAACCTTTTTCCCTATTGTGTATAGCTAAACAGTTTGTCCACTTTTTACTTTTCATATCCTAATTCTACTTCTGCTCTTCTTCTACGTAGTTTCGAACAGCAGTTATCATGTCTGCGACCTACATCATCTCAAAAATCGGGTATGCCACAGAGGGAATTTTGAGATGGCTTTTGGAGCTATTGACGACGCAGCGTCGCAGTGCCTCGCAGACAACAAATGATCTGCAGCATCATGTGCCTGGTGGGAGGATTAAATGTATTGTATTGCAGTTGGAGGGTCATCACATCCACAAAATCACGAAGGATTGACACTGCAGGACATAAGCCTACCAGTTTTGTTAGTGGCTGGTTCAATTTCGGTTCCTGTTCGGTATTTATTATATCAAAGCTTAATAGCGGTAGCGTATTCTTCGCTTGAAAGGTGAAACTTAGGGTGAGTATGGTTGTCATTTTGCTCGGGTTTCTTTTAAAATCCCCTATGAAATGACCGATGGACAAGAAAACATGTTCATGGGTCAAAGCGTTTGAACAGTGAACGTTTTCAGGTGTTGGCAGGTGTTATGATGAATTGGAGCACGAAACAATGGATGCTCATCCAGAGCAAGGAGATGGGCCTTCTGAAGAAGCGAGATGACGAGTGTTCTGCTGTGGAGTACGCAACTGTAGCTGCTTCACACAATCTCACACACGGCGGCTAATTCTCTCCACGAATGAGCACGCCCAGCAGTTGAAGAGATCCTCGCCGTTAGACTGCTATCGTCGTTTCAGCAGAGAGCTGAGAAAGAGGTTCGAATTGGCGATTACAGCACCAATAAGACTTGCTTCAACGCGAAACGAGGTAGAAACAGGGATTTCGTTCTACGAGGTCACAGTTGCACTGCTTAGCGCTCTACAATCATTAGCAGAAGTTGGTCGTAACACCCGCCTTCGAAGGGCGGCGATTTAGTCGAATCCATTGAGATCAGTTCAACGTTCGAAATATTAGAGAGTCTCTTCCGCCACAGAGGATCGAGTTCGCCATCTTTAGGGTGGAAGGGACGCTAATGGCTTAAAAATTGCAGCCCTGAACACCTTGACCAACCAACTTACGCCCACTGATAGGGTATACATGTTCCACTACACGATTCCTGAGCGCTCATTGCCTCTTAACCTCAGCTGACTCCCTCCTACAGCTCGAAAAGAAGTGATCTCCCAGGGGTGCTCATTTTTTCTTCATTGACAAACCAGTCACTGTTCCATATTTCAACCTTCGTTTATGCTATTTTTATGGCAGAGGTTGCCTTCGAGTCGTTCCAGTGAGTGTTCCACCAACTCAATACGAACGCCATGAAATTCAAGTTATAATGACTAAACAGGCGGGAACTGTACCTGAACATCGAGGTTTCTGTGACCGGCAGCGTCAGGCTCATCACAATACGCCATTATTAGGCCGGGCCGATTCTCCTCGTCCATACGAAGCCAGTTAATTACCTATTGGGTAGTAATTAGACTCAACGCTGTAATGGGCTAGCTTTACCTCTGTTGCCAAATTGCAATAAAAATAATCACCGAGTTGGCCCAGTCTTCTTCGGTTTGACTGCTATTATATATCACACGGTAATCTGGCTGCAGGTATCCTAGAAATGATAGACCTTGGCAAGTGTACAGTACTCGCCGTTTGAAATCGAAAATTCACGCGAATAACGCGAATCCTCGTTAATTTCGTGAATTCGTTATAACTCGGTTCAAAATTGAGCTTTCGAGAATCCGAAGATATCTTTGAATTCAGCTCGTCGGACACTATAAGAATGTGCTTTGATACTTTGGAAAAGCTCCATATAGGATTGCGCCATGCACTCGATTTTCATCTCAAAAAGTAGTTGCTCGCATGTGATGTGTATATAATCCCGCTTATGCGGGCTGACCGCTACACACAGAAGGCCTCAAAACTTACCCCAGAATGCGCCACGTACTCAATCTCATCCACTACATTGTGAGATTAGATGAATGTTATTTTCCGAATTCTTAGATCTTCATTTCGTTTTTAAGCGCTTACTGGCTTTACGTGTTCCCTCTGCTCTCAATATCCCATCCTCTGTATATCAAGTGGAATCTTTGAACAGTTCTCAGCAGGCATAGTGGGCCTATTATGTGACATTTTCCATTTTCAGAGGAGATGTTTTGCAGAAAGCTGTGAAGATAGCGAACAATTTCCTTCACTGTCGTAGACTACGGTCACTTGTCTGTAAGGATTATATGGAAACCTTGGTCGCAGGTGAGCGTTTCTTCCGTGGTGTGACCCCAAACATCACCCTGCCGCCTATACGCCAAGCTTTAGTGGTAATGTTTGTAGAAAGCTGTATGGAAGTCGACTGAATTTCTATAGCTCGTAACTCGGATCCACCTTATCTATATGGAAAACTCGGTCGCAAGTGAGCGTTCCTTCCGTGGTGTGGCCCCAAACATGCCTCCTCGTCATGCCCTTGTGGAATGTTCAGATTTTTTGCATTTCCAGATGAACTCGCAGACCTGAAATGTGCCCCGTTAGCTTCCCCGTGAAAAATGCTATCGAATGATATGCATTACTTCCCCAGTTGAAACTTTGGTTTTTCACCGTTTTCAGCCTTCCCCTATTGCCGGATTGGGCACTATCCCACGATTACTGCCCCAAAATCTCAAAGTTTCATTTTTCGTCGAAACTTTGTCTATTGGGGTAATTCGATGCCCTGATTACGAATATGGCACATCATTTTCAATACTGGTGTCATTTGGCGCCATTTGGCGCCGTTTGGCGCCAATTTGGCGCCACAGCTGTTTTCACCAAATCTGCTGAAACTTCGTCATTTGGGGTTATTTGGGGTCCTGATTACGAAAACGACACCCGTTTTTAGCGCTGGCGCCATTTGGCGCCGTTTGGCGCCATTTGGCGCCACGGCTGTTTCCACCAAATCCGCTGAAAACGTGTGTATAGGGGTTATTTGGGTCCTGATCACGAATATAACCAGTCTTGACGCCGGCGCCATGTGGTGTCACAAACAACACTTCACAGTCAGAGCGTACTCTTAGGCACCTTTCTCAGAGCGCCGACTGTCAGACTGTGGAAAGGTCCATCGAATCGGAGACTTTCCCACGACAGGAAGGAGCCAGACCGTGGAAAACTGTGAGCTAAGCCAGAAGCATATTTCACGTTTTCACTGGAGATGCCTGTATGCGTTGGGCAGAGCAGCAATTCGACTGTAAGCTCTCCAGCTGCCACTGAGGATGGTAGTACCGTGCTCGATGTACTACTTCATGATGAGCCGCAGTAGAGTTGAAACGTCTTTCCTTCGGACCATCCGAAGGAGTCCACTTCCTCTTTCAATGCCTCCAAACAGCCACTTGTGCCTGCGTACCCAACGTCGGCGGTTGTATTTGCGTTTGATAACCAGTGTTTCGTCAATTTCCATCTCGCACCCGAACCTTCCGATGATCGGCGGGTTCCTCCTGAAGTGCCCCACACATACGTCGCGGAAGAACCGCTCCCACTGAATTGAACTGGTGTGGCCGACATTGAGCTCGTATTCCTTGTCCTTCACCTTGCCCATGTCGCGCAGCCAGAAATAGGGCAGTGCGAACACCGTGGACTCAGGAAAGTTACAGTTCTCGAAAAAGGAATCCTTTCGGGCATGAACGTAGACCCTGGTCTCGTTCGACGGTCCAGTGCGGCACGCTCGACGATTGCAAATCCAGCCGTTGTGCCGTTCGTCGTTGATCAGGCTCATGGATCGTTGACATGAATGGCATAGTGGCACAGACATCAACCCCATGGATCGCAACCAGTAAGTGCAGATTATTCAACTTGAGCGTCTCGTACACGTCCTTCAAGGCTAAGCCCAGTAGCTCTCATTGACGATTGTGTCGCTAAAGAGTAGCAAGAGCCATCGTTATTCTCCGTTGTCGAAAACGTGAAACATGCTTCTGGCTCCTTCCTGTCGTGGGAAAGTCTCCGATTCGATGACCTTTTCCACGGTCTGACAGTCGGCGCTCTGAGAAAGGTGCCTAAGAGTACGCTCTGACTGTGAAGTGTTGTTTGTGACACCACATGGCGCCGGCGTCAAGACTGGATGTTATATTCGTGATCAGGACCCAAATAACCCCTATAC